ACTTCTTAAACCTGGCCCAGACTCCACTCCTAAATGCCTCTTCCTTTTCAAACCTCAGCTGTCTGAGCTTAGCGGTGAACCAGGGTTTGTCATTGTTATAACTCAACCTGGTCCGTGTTGGAATGCAGCTGTCCTCACAGCAACTGATGTAGGATGTCACAGCCTCTGTAAACTCATCCAGGCAGTCCTGAAAACATCCCAGTCAGTGCAGTCCAAACACGCCTGGAGGTTCTCTACAGCTTCACTGGTCCACTGTTTTGATGTCCTCACAACAGGTTTACACAGTTTTAGCTTTTGACTGTAAGCAGGAATGAAGTGAACCATGGCATGATCAGAGAGTCCCAGTGGAGCTTGAGGGATGGCGTGATAGGCACTGCTTACTGCGGTGTAGCAGTGATCCAGAGTGTTCCCCTCTCTGGTTGGACATTTTATGAACTATCTGTATTTGGGGAGTTCATGGCTGAGGTTTCCTTTGTTAAAGTCACCTAGAACAATAACCGAGGAGTCCGGGAATGTCTGCTCTACCCAGAGTATCTGGGCGGCCAGCGTGCTTTGTGCCTTGTGCACAGTGGCCTGTGTGATGTAAACACCGAGCAGAAAGTAGCTAGCAAACTCGCGGGGAGAGTAGAATGGTTTACAGTGTATCAGTAAATATTCCAGGTCATGAGAAAAGTGTTGCTGAATCACTGTCACATCGTTACACCAGCACTGTTAATGTAAAAACAGACACCTCCACCTTTTGTTTTGCCGGAGAGTTCCCTTTCTGCTCTGTGGACCTGGAAGCCAGCCAGCTGCAGCGCGGAGTCCGGTATTGATCCACACAGCCTCGTCTCTGTGAAGCACAAAGCAGAAGATAAATAAAAGTCTCTGTTTTTCCCCACCAGTAGCCATAGTTTGTCCAGTTTATTGCACAGTGAGCGCACGTTGGCTGCAACAATTATTTTCAAAATCGATTTAATCCACCTATTGTTTTCTCGATTAATCATTTGCCCAATAAAATTTTGGAAAACAGTCCCATCAGAAGGTCCCAGTCCTTTTGAGGTGACATATTTAAATACGGTTTTGTGCAAACAGCTGTTCAAAACCTAAACACGTTCAGGTGAAAAAAGACAAAGAAAAACCAGCACAAATTATATTTCGTATAATAAGAACATCTTGTTCTGCAGCACAGGAGTGCCGAGTAGCAGCATCTGTCAACCTATTATAAATATAGCATATAATAGAACATCTATCTATCTATCTCTGTCTGTCTGTCTATATCTATCTATATCTCTATATCTCTAGCCATCTGTCTAGCAGTTTCTAGCTCTGTATCTCTATCTAGCTATGAATTTAGCTATATTATCTATCTCTATCTTTCTATTTAAAGTGATTTAAGTAATTCAATGGCACTCATCCCCCTGTTGATAGAATAATCAATTACCAATGGCTAGGGAACTTGATGGGTCTATCCATCAGCGCACACGATGACTCAAGCCTACCATAAATGTGAAAAATGAATTACTGGATAACTTCTTAGGGTTTCCGCTCTGTTATGTGCCCATTTCGGCATGCCTGTATGTTTTCTGTTGGTACATAGTTTGTGTTTGTCGTGAGTGTTCAAGTGAGCCACGATGCCGCTGTGGGATTAGTCTGCATTACTGGAGCTTTGCGGGACAACATTTTAGCTTAGTTTGTTTACATTACATGATCAACACTGGGGCATGCAGGTAGTGTTTGGTTATCTTGTGTTACTCACTAACATTTATTTGCACTACAGGTAATGCGCATGTTGCCAAAATGTTTCCTATTGAGACTGCTTCTGCTGGCTCCTGGCACCATTGATCCTCTTGATCCCTACATGAAATATGTGAATACAAAGATCCACATTGCTCAAAGGAATTCAATCTGTGGGTCCCAGTTCAGCTGCTTCACTGACAGTGGTATCCCTACGTGCTATTTGTGGGAAAGATAACTGGTATTCCCTTTTTAGACTAATTTTGAATCGTATGGCTCCTAAATTCAGTTCAGTCGTTTCAAAGAGCTATTAAACAGAGGATCTGCTCAGATCAGGGTCAAGGCGTGTTCCTACTGTGAGATATTTCAAGAGAAAAGTACTCCAGCAAGACGGAGCAGATTTAGCACTGACAAACTGGAAGAGTTAGTCCTGATAATAGGGCTGGAGCAGAGATACTATAACTCATATCACTCAGAACGTCCTGTAATTGTGTGTGTTTTCTGTAGACGTAACGGCTACATTTAGCACACAGTCATTTATGTTTTAATGACATCTTGCCATTTGGTTTGGAAAGTAAGAAATCAGTGCATTTAATGTTAAACTAACCCCTGCAGTTCAGCCAGTTTTCTTATATTCATACCATCAACAACAAACATGTAAAATATTTAAATTTAAGATTGGGTATGAGACCACATTTGCGTAATAAAACACTAGTAAAAGCCATTGACATGAAGTCACCAGACGGCAATAAAAAACACAGTTACAAAAACCATAAAGGTATAAAAACAAATTAGACAAAAGCTATGTGACAAGATAACTATGGCTGCATTCAGACTGTATACCCAAGTGACAGGTTTTGGGCCATTTTCATCTGTGGTCCAAATCAGGTACAGGTCGTGTTTTTTGCGACCTCACTCTGGACTGTCAGATCGGGATTCATGAGACTCTAAAGTCAGTCTGGAGCAACTGTGGTCACAGTTCTGTGCTAGCGGGAGCAAAATGAATGAGAAATGAAATGAAAATTAAAAGGACACAAAGTTGTGAATATTTGTCATAAATCGGGAGAAATACAGGAAATTGGGAGAATTGTGACCCTGGGAGGAAATTCTCCCAATAACAAAGGCTAACCTTTGTGACCGCTGTGTTTACTTTTGTACATCAGCGTGCTGCGTGTGATGTCATATTATACTTTTGCGCATGTGGGTCACTTTCAGGCCGTGGCCAGTTCACACTGGAGTCTGATATGGGCCACATTTAAAACAGTCAATTTAAGTCACTGTGAAAGTGGATGGTGCCTGTGACTCTAGACCAGAATTGTGGATGGCCATGAGCGCTACCCTAAACTAAATGGGTGTAGTTTTGCCTCCAGTAATATCTTGACAACATCCAGTAACTAATTTTGTTAATTTTTAGTTACAGTTTACTTGGAAACATTAATTTAAATGACAGAATTTTATAAACAAACATGATTTTAACCTGAAAGTCGCTAAACAGTCTTTTTAAAAATGATGGCCTTGGTTTCCACTACACTGACCCTGAAAACACTCAATGTTGACAGGCAATGTCAACCAAAAGTTAAAGCTACGGCTGCAAGTAACGATTCTTTTCTTGACAGATTAATCTGTTGTCTATCATAATTTCCTGAAGCCTTCGTCTGACCAACAGTCCAAATCCCCAGCTAAATTCAGTGGACACTTACAACAAAGAAATCACAGTGGGGAAGTTGGGGCTAGGGAATGTCTGGTTGACTTTCATGATACAAAATAGCTGCAGATTAATTTTCTGTTAATCAACTTAATTGTTTGGACTCGAGACGGGTAATCCTGTTGCCCTTTCTTTTTTATTTTTTTTTATTTTAGAAGTGCAGGCTCATCAGCTCAAACACCAAGCAGCCAACGTCTTGCATTTCACCATCAACAAATAGATTTGACTTTGTAAATACAATTCCAACATGAAATGAGAATCTGGCATTGTAGAGAAAGAGCTCTGCCTTCAAAGGAAGTATTTATTTGCTCCAGCACTTTTATTTGACTCTTAAGTTTGGCGTTTCTAAGTTAAAATGGCACATGACGGAGAACACTTTGCTTAGCTGGTGCCCAGGCAAGAGTCTGCTCATTTAGCCTGGGGGTTTCCTGGCGAGCAGCGCCTGCAGGGGCAGGGAGTTACCAGGGAGATACAGACTCAAGGTAAACAGTAGGATCAGTGTTCGAGCTGAATCGTGCAGTGTCTGCCCCAGTCCTCAACGCTACAGCCTGAAGTTAATATAAGAGTCTCTGTTCATATCTGCAGCTTCTTGCAGAGAGTAGAGCACTTTATTCACCGTTTTGGACGGAGATTGGGTGGTGGTACATTTCAATATTATCTGAGGCAGACGTGAAGAAGTAGTATTGTACTGTGTGAATGGGAGCTGCTGGTTTCTGAGAGCTGGGAGATGAATTGTATTTGTGTGTACAATAGCTGTTTTGATAGCGTTTATCTCACCAACAATGAACAGTCTGTGGATAACAGCACATATGGTATGAATCAGCAATGGTTGGGGCCAATTTCAAACAATATATTTTTTATTCATTCCTGACTACACACCCGTGTGCCTGCACTCATATGAGCGAACGGAGACTCTCACACACTCCTTACTCTTGCTTTTGTAGATTAGGCTTGGAGTTTTTTTCTTGCGCTTTGAAAGAGCTTTTTGTTTAGGACTCATTGTAATCATGAATTAGTCAGAATTAGACTCGTTACACACAGAATTTAGCAAATCTAGCATCACTTCTTAGGTCTTTTTTTTTCATTTATTTTCTAACTAATGATTTTAAAAAGGCTATTTTGTTGTGCACCTGACAATATTTTCTGGTGTTTTTCATTAGCCTATATTTGGTTCCACTTGCGTAATTTTTCTGTATACATACATATATAAATATCTATATACCTCTATCTAAGCATTGTAGCAGGGAGCCTGAGATGAAAGAATTTAATTGCCAACGACAGCTTCACAAAAGCCAGAGTTGATGTTTTCAAATGTCTAGTTATGTTTGACCAACCGTCCAAAACCCAAAAATATTCTATGTACTATCGTAGAAGCAAATGGTCACATTTAAGAACCTGGAGCCAGTGAACCTCTGGTGTTTCCTCTTTAAAGTCGTTAAAATCTTCTTAAAATCTAATTAATTTTCTGTGGATAGTTTCAGCTCCGCTAAGAACTACAGTGCCCAGCTGTTTGCACCCTTTGGATCTCTGGCTGCACCAGTTTCCCAGCTACATCTTTTCTCTTTCTGTTTTGTCCCAGGTGTTGGACAAACACAAAGCCATGGACAGCATGGTGGAGCTGCTGCAGGTGTACCCCGAGGAGGACGAGGCGTATGGAGAGCTGCTGGAGGCAACAACGCAGCTCTACCACTATCTGCTGCAGCCTTTCAGGGACATGAGGGAACTGGCAATGTTACGCAGACAGCAGATTAAGGTAATACACACCGACACATAGACACACAGATAAAAGTACCATCTGTTTTAAGGCTTGATTTAAGTAGGTTTAGACCTCACTGGAGCCAGCTAAATGGTCTGTCCTGGAACACACTTTGACTTGTGTTAGACTGCCTCTCTACTGCAGTGGACTCTACCAGTTACAATGCTATTTTTGTTGTTTGGCGGTTTTAAAAACCAGGGTTAGTGCTGGGAAACGAGCCCTGCGCCACTGCATGGTAATGTCCTCCATTGAGCCTACCCTCCTAAGCCCACTGTAATGATATTAGCATTAGCTGCTGAGGGGTTTTTTGTGACGATAATGATGGTGTAGTAGCCGGTCTGTTCCCTGTAGCTTTGCATCTGGGGGCTGTGGAGGGCCGAGGATCAGCCAGAGAGGCTTTTTTCCCCCGTCCAGAGCGGCTTAACAACCAGCATAAGTATTATTACAGCAGCCACTAAACCACTCAGTAATTCTGCAGCCTCAGCACACTCTTCTGTTTTCCACACTCTTTTCCCACTCCATCTTTTGTTGTTCTTTCTTCATTCGAGGCTTGAAAAGGGAAGTAAATCCGCAGACTAATCTCCACTGTCTCATGGCCGTCACTGAAACCTAACACATGCCTGGTGGGGTCAGTAGGTCAGTACACTTGTTCAGGAATAAGTTCTATAAATTTACATTATTTATTATTATTACTAAATTTAAATACAACAGCAGAATGGATTAATTTGCTGAATACTGCAACAAAACCAGACTGCAGATTTATTGACAAGGCAACAATATCACCATGTTACCCATACCTAATGAAGGATTTTTGGCTACCGTCTTTGCTGGCGTACAGGATTAGTTGTGGGCTTTTCATGTATGCTTTCCTTTATTGTAGGTTTTTCTGAAAGCCTGCTCAAATGACCACTTGAAAATTGCTGACAACATGTCACAATATGATCTAGTAAACAAACTGAGAAAAGATTTGCTTCCACTATGAAAGAAACGGTATTTGTACTCCTCGGCTTTGTCCCAGATCCCTCTCTCTCATTCCCTACTCCATATATAATAGACACTTGATAGTTTACTCTACAGCAAGGGGGGTTCAAAGTTTGACACTGGCAAGACTACTAGCCCTGTGAACAGGAAGTATGATGTTGCCAAGTCTTCAGTGAGTTACAATTTAATCCCTGTGTTTTTAAAGCTTTTCCTTGTTTACATTTTGGAAAACTGGCACCAAATGTTTACTGAATGAGCTGTTCCTGTTTGCAGTGCTCTCATGTATTTACAGACAGCCATCACTGGATTACTTTGATAATGAAGAAAACTTTAAAACATGAGGATTCTCAGGCAAATTCTGGAGCTTCTTTGTATAAAGTCTAAGAGGATTTATGGAAGTTTAATTTGCAATTGAGCATTAAGTGCCGCTCCAACACCAGCATGCATCTGTCCCTTTCACCTCCCTCGATATCTTTACATCACATCTCCTCTATAGTGACCAGTAAATTGTGATTATAGACGCGTGTGAATCATCATCATTTTGCGTCATCTCTGACAGGTGTAGCATTGCACGACTGAAATACAATACTTTGTTGGCGAAAAGTACTGTAGTATACAAGCATAAACACAATAGAACATAAATTTTACACTCAGTTGAACACTCAAATAACATTTTGGACAGTAAATGTAATGCACTGTGTACTTAAAGGTGCGGTATGTTATTCTGGAGAAATCCAATACCACGACAAATACCATGATATAGAGCAAACAATGACAGAACAAGTAATGTAACTTACGTTAGCTAAGGTTTTAGCAAACCGTGGCTACAGCTGCTGCAAAGCTAACATGAAGCCAACATGAAGCTAACATGAAGCTAAAATGCAGAAAGGACAAATTGGTCCAAGCACACCAACTCCAGACAGTGATACTTAAAACTCTCCTGCTACTTTAGCTACCACCACAAAAAAAGCACGTCTTGGCAAACTAGAAAGTAAGCTGAATGTCTGTGGGCAAGTCTTTAATGTTACCTTTCACACAAATCATAGCTGGAACAATATTGTGTGGTTTGTTTCCCTATTTACAGAGCCAAGGCTTTGCATAAACACCAGATATTTGTTCAGTTCACACACAGAAAGGACAGCTAGCGGACCGTGAAGAGAATTTCGCTGAATTCGACAAAAAGAGGTGTATTGGATTAGACTTGCTTACCCTACATTTTAATAGGGAGTGATTTGGGACACAGCCTTTGTACTTTGTAAAAACTGCATACAGGTGTATCCATTCCTCATAACTTGATGAGTTACCAGATCCTGGGAGAGTCAGAATAAACACAACAGAGGAGAAAGTGTGCGAGTGGTTGAGAGAGAGAGAAGAGGCAAAAATAACCTCGTCCAACAGGAGAAATGGCTTGAGCAGAGTCAGCCAAAGTCTGTGGACCTTTCCGAAACTGCTTGCTACTCCCTCCCCCTACCTACTTCCACTCAGTTTGCACTTTCATGCGGAGGGTCAGCCACATTGAGTGCCATCCGAAACCAATGAGGGCGGAGTGGTACTGGGTTGTTAAACCCTCCAATGCTGAGTGAGCACCGATGCCGGCTTGTTGAAGGTGTGTAACACCCTTTGCCGCACGATGGGGGACCTTTCTTTCAATTTGAGTTCCGTGTGACTTCGCTGGTTAAGATGTAGGATTTTTAAATTCCAAAACTACACTAACATTTCATATCACCATTCACAGGTAAACACCATTGTGTTTAATTAAAAAAATGATCTTGTCTGATAGACAATACAACTGTTGTTTTTATTGACTCGTATTCATCTTATACGAAAATCTTCAGCCAAAATAGGAGCTCGATTTGGCTGGAGAGTGACTCTGATCAGAGTGGCGAGGGTGTAGTTTCGGAAAGGCCCTGTGTCTTGTTAGCCAGAGTTTTCACCAAATCCTTATCAAGTTTGTGTTCGACTGGATTGTGCAGCCGGTGGCGGCTTTGGCATTATGTTACAAGGTATTGACTGCTGTTTAACTGGAAATGTGCTCTCCTCATCTCTATATCTGTCTTTACTTCGGAGTACTTTCCCGTCTCTAAACTACATTCCAAAGACAGCATGCTTTATCCAGCATTGTGTCACTAACCAAAACAAGTGGCTGGGTGGGTGTGTTTGAGTGTGTGTTGATGTATGATGGTATTTGTGTTCTTGGGCGGGTGCTGAGCTAAATTAGGGCATTTCACTGAATCACCAAAATGAATGCGACACTTTTTCTTAAAGGAACAGGGTATTTCATAGTTTTGTTATTGGTGTTAACAGGTATTGTATTGTGTATACAAAGGCAATAATGTACAGTAGCTTATTATGAGCCACACTGTTGCACTGGCTGACATGTTACTTCATCACCATGAACACACACTAGTTTATTCTGACTCAGTCCCACATACATCGTCCTGCTGCCCCAAATACTGACTACAGCACCAAATGTAGATTAATCCGCTGCTAAAAATAGTCCCCAACAAATGCATGTTTCCTCCTGTTTTAGTGCCCAGCTGTTTTATAGAACTATTTAGCCTTTAACCTGTGTTTAAAGCTTTACCAGTAGAAATGAATGAATTTAGGCAGAAACAGGTTGGGGAAGTTGAAAAAGTGACAAACACGTTGTTCGTGTCACGGGGTTTCCTGAGAGAAAAGTGTCAGAAAATTGTGAAAAATGTCCTTTGCAATTTCAAAGCCAAAAATGTTCAGTTTACTTTCATATAGGACAAAAGAACTGGAAAATTGTATTAATAAAATATAAAAATAGTTAGACTTTGATTAGACGATCGACCCTTTCAGCTGTATATGTCTTGTAAGTTCAGCAGTCTTGCTGATATTGTAGAAAAACATATATTAGAAATCTATGGAAAATGTAAAACCTGAAAGGACATCTGTGTCCTTTCTGTGGAGTCATCAGGGTCGTCTCAGCTTTACATTTATTTTTTTTTTTTTTTACAGAAAGCCTACATTACAAATAGGAGGTGTGAGGTTTGAAGGCAGAGAGAATCTAATGAGAGGTACTTTTGAGTTGCATTATGGGAATTGTAGTATTCATTGTGCCATAATGTGAAACTTGACCTCAAATGTAAAGAATTTCATATTTAGAGAAGAAATGTTTGAGTGGTTCTTGTCAGTTTAACCTAAAAACTTGACCCTCAAACCTTTTTTTGTTTCTGACATGATTTGTGAAGCTTCCTGAGAATCTGAACTCTATCTGTAGCCAAAGTTTCCAGCTCTAGCACCTGCTTCCCTCAGGGCGATCCAACGACTGAAAACAAAGCTGTATGCAAATGAATCCTTGATGCCGGCAGAGGCAGTTTGTTCCTCCCAAGCTGATGAGTCAGGGGGCCATACTCTCCCTTTTGTGAAGAAAGGGAAGTCGGGAATTAGGACGCAGGATGCTTTCAATTTACATACAGTTTACATCCTACTCGATGTTGCAAAGGTGAGGTGAAAAAGACACCTACATGCCTGCATTGCAGGCTTCATCAGCAAGTGTGAATACACATGACACGTGTGAGGTTGATTTAAAGCCACCACAGTGCTTCAAGCTAAAAGCCAGACTGTTATAATGAACTGGAATTAAGATTCACACGTCAAACTGAAGAAAGACGGATCTCAATGATTTGTGGGGTCAGGAGGAGTTAACATAGTGTTTTTAGCTATGCTATTTAGACGTTGAATTCAGAGGCTACACAGAGTTTTACATTCAATAAGGGCTATAACTCGTGAAAGGCCCAACATGACGTCTTCAAAGATATAAAGTTCAGAGAAAAGCAGCAAATCCTCACAAATGAGAAGCTAAAACTTGTTTTTGAAGCTAAAAATTGACTTAAGCGATGAATTGATTATCAAAATAGTTAGACTATTATAGAGATAGATATAGATAAATTCAAATGTTATCATTTTAACCCTTTCTACTCCTCACATCTAGGCCTAACTGAATCAGTGAATGAAAGAGCAGATGGAGCAGTGAATGAGTGATCATGAAG